AGATTATTTCGACCTTAATTACAGGGGATATTGTTCAGCGATGTCCTGTAAGATTCTTAAAAAGCAGCCATTTGAATGTAGTTCTCCATACCAACGTCTCCACATGAATTCCTGAAAATATTCTTATAGGAAATTGCTATTAGCGGATCCAGGATTTTTTTCTAGGAGGGAGTGCACCACTAAGGAATGGCGAAACTGACTAGTGACTGGACGTAAGCACCAGTTGTATTAGAAAGCCGCAGGTCATACCCCTTGCACCCTCCCCCTAGATCCGCCCCTGTACAGATATCCGAACGCTGGGCTCCGACCGGGTTGCCGACTAGGCCTGTTCAAAGGCTACTCCGCAATCATTTCTCTTTTCCCCTTGCCCGGTTAGCTTTGCGCTTTAAGGCTGGCAAATGCCTACCAAAACAAAAATGTTAAAATATATTGATATTTTCGGATTTAACAGTTTATTAGCTTTACAATGATATATATAGATGCACGATCCTCGCAGTAGATAGCGCTAATTAAGCAATAGCGAAAATCAGACCTGAAAAAAATCAGGCCTGTACGGGATTCGAACCACTGACCTCTGCGATACTAGTATACAAGTAATATATACTAGTATCGCAGAGGTCAGTGGTTCGAATCCCGTACAGGCCTGATTTTTTTCAGGTCTGATTTTCGCTATTGCTTAATTAGCGCTATCTACTGCGAGGATCGTGCATCTATATATATCATTGTAAAGCTAATAAATTGTTAAATCCGAAAATATCAATATATTTTAACATTTTTGTTTTGGTAGGCATTTGCCAGCCTTAAAGCGCAAAGCTAACCGGGCAAGGGGAAAAGAGAAATGATTGCGGAGTAGCCTTTGAACAGGCCTAGTCGGCAACCGGGTCGGAGCCCAGCGTTCGGATATCTGTACAGGGGCGGATCTAGGGGGAGGGTGCAAGGGGTATGACCTGCGGCTTTCTAATACAACTGGTGTTTATGTCCAATCACTAGTCAGTTTCGCCATTCCTTAGTGGTGCACTCCCTCCTAGAAAAAAATCCTGGATCCCCTAATAGCAATTTCCTATAAGAATATTTTCAGGAATTCATGTGGAGACGTTGGTATGGAGAACTACATTCAAATGGCTGCTTTTTAAGAATCTTACAGGACATCGCTGAACAATATCCCCTGTAATTAAGGTCGAAATAATCTGGCACAATTCTTTTTGTATAATGGAAGTACACCTTGCCTCCTTGCTTTTAGTGCACCGATAAAGTGTCGATATCGGCAGGTATCATGCGTAAAAAAAATTAAGGTTTGAACCCTATTAGAAACTAGCCCATTTTTCACCTTTTCAGACAACTGTCCCACGCTTGTCACGCACTATCGTAAACTGCAGCTTATAAGCTTCGTAAAGGTTTTTTGATTGGCTTATAAATGGGAGGGGGAGGGGCGTATATAATAAAAAAATTTTCGAATTGAGCTACTGCAGTGTTCCTCTAAATGCGTTTTTATTTTCTAGTTTTAATTAAGGACTTTCGCGACCAAAATGTTCCAACGTTCAGATTGTTTTAAAACTTGTCATGCAGTAAGGTAAAGATCAATTCAACTTTTGGCGAGAAGGAAAAACAAGGAGTGTCATCTTGCTCGTTTCCGAGAAAAGACGCAATGAAGCCCATGCGTTGTTAGAAACTTTCGTTATTTTGAGACGATGTTAGCTTACAACTATCAGCAATTAAAGAAACTATACAGTAGTGGAATTTAGATCAGGTTAACGTTCTCATTTCAACAGAACTAAGTCTATTATCTAAACTTTTGCAGCTGATATCGTTCCTTCGAGGTAAAATACTCCTGGAAAAAGAATACATACTAGTCTTGCCCGTCCACAATCGAAGAAAACTTAGGTCGCACGAGAGTAGAAAAGGGAAATATTTGTAACTTCTCAAGTAGAGATTTTTTCGGTTTTCGTTTTGTTTTTACTTTGATTTTTTTTTTTTTTTACGGGAGAACATTAAGATAAGATAAGAAAATATGGAGTTACCGACCATTTAAGAGAGTGACATGCAGGTGACGTTAATGCAAGCGGTAACAATCCCTATGCTCCGTAGTATTTCTTTCTTAGCGCGCGCGCTTCATGTATGGTGTGGTGAGAAGTTGTGATATGAATTACGTGCTCAGTGAGGATGCGCGGAAACAATGGGCGCGAACTTCCTTAACATAAATAAAACTAGGAATAGTAATGACCTTATTTTAGAAAAAGTTAACTTAGAATGCATCAAGCGCGCTTTTTTTTTTTTTTTTTACAAAGGTTAATTTATTTTTTAGAATTCCTTTTAATGTAATATAACTTTTTCGTGTAACTTGCAATTGTTTGAATAATTCTTTTAATGTAAGTTTTTACTAGCCTTTTACAATTTATCTTTTACATAGGACCTGCATCGATAGAAGTGTTTTCTTTAAAACTGATGCAGCAATCATGTATAATAACTGATTCCTCTAAATTCTTTCTGTATGAACTGAGTAGTGCCGTGTTCTTTGAGAGTGCTTATTATTTAGGAAACAAGGAAAACTAGAGAGAGGCTTACATCGGGGGGGCGTTGTAATCGAATGAATTTTGCTGCTTACAAGTAGGTGGGTCTATAACCGGGGAGGGGTTA